TCTATAGTTCAGAGTGTCATCTAAATCAGATATGGGTGAAACTCAAAGCATGATTTATGCTGAGGCAAACTCCCTTTAGTGAGCCTGTGAAACTAAAACAAGTACAAGTTATCTACTTGTAAAATACAATGGCGGGACAAGCATAAGATAGACATTCTCATACCAACAGAGAAAAATAGGTAAGAAAAGAAGAGTAACTAATCCCAAGTAAGTCCAAAACCCAACAGGGAAAACAACATTAAGTAAGTCTTAATAGAGAATAATTTCCTTTGATGTCATGTCCAACACCCTGGGCACATTGGGAGTGTTGGTTCCTGAAACCACAGGAAGCTCTGCCCTTATGGCTTTGCTGAGTTCAGATCATGTAATAGTTCTCACAGGTTGGAGTGTCTTGTCTGCAACTCTCCCAGGCTCACATTGTATTGCTCCATATGCAATGCAGCTCTTCATCATTTTCTGAAATCATCTCCTCTTCTCTTTGTTCTTTCTAGTCTAGGTAGTCCTCACAGCTTTTCTCTACTTGGAAAGTTCTTTTGTTGTTTTTGTTTTGATATTTATATCTATCATTCTTATATGACTTAAAGTTTCACAAGAACAATCCATTTTATTCATCACCCACACCAGGTTGCTAATATAGTGCTTGGTCCATATTTGTGGAAATGAATGAATAGTTCTCCAAAAAATGCTTTTTAATTCTGGCTAGAAACCTAGAGGTGTTTATATTATCTAAACAAGTGAATTTCTTAGGGATAATTCTAAAACATTCCTTCCACCTCCTCTGCATACTATCATTCAATACTGTAGATCCAAACAATTAGATCAGTCATCTCTTAACCCTCTACAAGTGTCCTTGACTTGTTTCCTCTTACTTCCTCCCTTTATATTAACTTCTTTTTTTTTTTTTTAGATTTTTGTTTGTTTGTTTGTTTAAGAGGTTTTTGCTATAGGGCGCATGCGCTTGCCAGAAAGACAGACACAGAGAGACAGAAAGTGAGAAATCACCCCTCAGAGAGGATGACCACACCACAGTCCCTTCTCCTCCATTCTCCTCTTGGGATCTTGGGCACACGTGCACACACACCTGGAGTGAGCTTAAGCCACTGGGTCCAGGACTTGAACCACGGTCAGCTACATGGGAGTTCAGTGACATAGCCATTACTCCAACTGCTGGTCCCGAGATTTTTTTTGCTATAGGGCGCATGCACTCGCCAGAAAAACAGAGTGAGAGAGAGAGAGAGAGAGAGACAGAAAGCAAGGAATTACCCCCTGAGGGGATGGCCACACCGCAATCTCTTCTCCTCCATTCTCCTCTCAGAATCTTGGGCACGCACACACATGGACCCGGTGTAAGTTTAAGTCACCAGGTCTGGGACTCAGACCACCGTCAACTACATGGGAGTCCAGCAACATAGCCTTACACCAACTGCTGGTTCCCTTTTACATTAACTTCTGACTAGAGAACCTACTAAGGATAATCCTCAACCTCTTATCTTCTAAGAAGACTTTCTTCATACCAGCCAATACCACTCTCACAGCTGTGTTCCCGTGCCATTTACATATAATTTGTACTACAAGGACTGTAAACGTGACTAAGTTATGTTTTTTATTTCTCTTTTAGAATTATTTATTTAATTTAATTTGTGTGTGTGTGTGTGTGTGAGGTCAGCATTTTACTATGATTGGATTTAGGAGAAGAGGAAACTGTGAGCCAATTGACCATTTAGTGAATTGGTCATTGTACAAATTTACCTATAGAAAGGACAGAAGATCTGGAATAATCCCAAAGGCACTTATAGGACATGACAAAGAGTTTAGATTTTATTAAATATATTGAGAAACCACTGGAAGATTTTAAGGAATAATAACATGATCTTATTTATATCTTTAAAAAAAATCTCTGGCTGCTTGGTGAAGATTTGTTATGACAGGACAAGATTCAAAGTAGAAGACAAGAGACTTTTAGTAATAACCGATGGGAAATATGAGACAAGAGAGAAAGGATCAAGAATGACTTTTAATTTTGGCCTGAATGATATTGCCATTCACTGAACTGAGGAAGAATTGGAAGGAACCAATTTTCAAGAAGATTTTAGACAAGTTAAGTTTGAGATGCCTATTAGACATCCAACGAAAGGCACTAAGTAGACAGTTGACTGTGAGAATAATCAGGCCATTTATTGATAGTATTTATAGCTATGGGCCTGACCGGGAAGTGAGTCTAAAACAAGAAAAGATGAAGACTGAGGCCTGGGGTAATTTGATATTCAGAGGACTGGAAGAGGAGATGCCATATCATGAAGGCAAGGATTATAATTTCTACTTCCTTTGTGTCTCAAAGAGTGTCTGATATAATGCTGGGCTCACAATAAGCATTCAAAAAACATTCACTGAATGAACAAATAAAATGTTGTAAAAGTACATAGGTACATTGGCATACCATGGACTGTGGGAAGCTGTGCACCAGCGAGTCTGCCGAGGCCATTTTCATGAGTCTCTTACTATTGCCATCTTAGGCTCAGAGAACAAACAATTACAAAGGCCACAATTGGCTAAACCATACTCTGATTGGCCACTTCCCATAGCAAATTGGTGAGCTTAGAATCTCTCAGATTTGCATATCTGGCACCTCATGATTGGTCCACAAAAGCAACCAATCATAACCCACCTTTTTACTATCCTTCATTCAACCAATCACGGCCCACCAACATGTATATAACCATGACCCCTGGCCCATAATCGCCAGACGACCCTGAAGACCCTGAAGAGCTGTGACACCGTGTCATCTCTAGACGACCCTGAGTTGTGACACCACGTCGTCTCCGGACGACCCTGAAGAGTTGTAATACTGCATCATCTCCGTGTTGTAACACTGCGTCGTTCATCCTGTCTCTCACTCCTTCCCTCAGGAAACCTGTTCGACTGTCCCCCAGGTCGGGACAATGGACCTCTTCTGACTATGCCTATGCCAGAGCCCAAAACAGTGTCTCTGCCATCATCTCCATCACATATTACAGTGGAAAGTTCCACCGTGGCAAGCACTCACTGGTAGACATTTTAAAAAATGCTTTATAAATTACATGTTTTAACTGAAGTCTTCTTTTCTTCCTTTACCTAAGTGCAGATTTAGCTGTTATTTAGCAAATTAAAAAAAAAAAATCTGACCCAAAATGTTCCTAGGATACACTGTATTTTTTTTAAATTATTATTATTAAAAGACACCAACCTTAATCCTTGGCAATCCATCAAAACCATGTATTTTCAAGTGCCAGCAAGAATGAAATGACTTTGGCCAATTTACAGTAAATTGCTCTTTTTTTTTTTGTTCTTTCAATTGAAATACATGCACTTAAAATTCTGCCTGGAGTACATCCAAATAGCAAAAGAAACAAAAACAAAGTTAAAAACTAAAGATCTGAAGAAATAAGCAAGAGAACCTTGGGTAGTTAGTCACTCTTGATTTGGATTCATTTTGCATGTTTAATGTTGTTTATAATGTTGTATGATACCTTTGGTAACCTGATAGTGGAGTAATTTTTTTAAAGATCAATGCAACAGATACAGAATTATGAGCAAGACATTTCTGATTAAGCAACAAACCCTGGCCACCATACTTGGTTGAGAATTGCAAATTTTGGTTCTGTGAGGTATTCGGCACCAGCATTTTAATTCCATGACTAGAACTAAGTGGAGGTTTAAGAAGAAAAATGATTCCATTTAATGGCCCAAACTAACAGGGTTATGTAGTGTAGGTTTTCAGACACTTGTGGTGCAATGCTCAGAAAGGCAGCTAATGTCTGTTCTGGGAACTGGTATGAAAAGCAGTAGAATGAAACAGAATTGATGAATTAGACAGAAAGGGCTAGTTCATTTTCAGATTTCTTTCTAAAGGCAACAAGAGGAAAACAGAGGTGCAAAAGAAAACGAAAACTCCAGCCTGAAAGTTGACATCGGAATTAAGAGTTGGGAAAAATTAAAATTGCTGCCCATGCTGTGATAGTTTCCATTCATCTTGCTTGGAGGATGAAAATCACTGTTAGTCTTTAAGTTCTGTTTTCCTTATTAACTGTCTTGGAGGAGGTGAGTATTAGGATGACCAAGTCCTGAAGTGGTATTTCTCAAAGTGTACATTAAAGGAGCAGAAGTGGTAGTGCGAAGTGGCTACGCCTGTCAGGCAGTCTTAAAACAGACACTCAGCATAAATGCTGGAGATACCTTGATCAGTGGAGAAAGTCCACATCCTTCCTGAAGTGATCAGGGCTCTCTGAGCACACTAGACAATAATGTAACTATTCAGTCTTGCATCATTCTCATTATTTTCCTGGGCCACAAGAAATCATCATCATTAGAAAAAAAAAAAAATCTTCATTTGGGAGAGCTTTTCACAGCCTGTGTGTAACTAAGTTAAGGAATTTAAAAGAGGAATTTTTCTAAACCCCACAGGGAAAAACCATTCTCTATCTTACAGACACCGAGTTGTGCTCCATGGTGGGGATACCAAGCATGAGGTCAGTGAATTCCCTCTTTGTTTCCCACATTTATACCAGCGTCTTTTCAGGAATCAAGATTTTTCAAAGCTAACAACGTTTGCTTGCTTAGAGTAGGTAATGTAGAGAGAGAGCTACTATATTTAAAACAATCGTGTACTTGATCATTCTCTCAGAGCTCTGCGATGTGGAATAAATCCTGCTGAGCTCTAGATTCAGAATGGATTCAGGCATTCAATCAATAATGGTGACGAATCTGCCTCTTCTTAAATCTACAAATAATGACTTTCCCAGCCAAGAAAATACATATTCTATTCTCTTTTAGTCCAATTCTTTTCCGTTATCCTAGGAAGCATCATTTGTCTCAAAAGGCGTGCACCATCTCCTGGGAGGATCTCTCTGTGTCTCTCTGTCTTTCCTTCTGACACAGACATACACTTCTGTTCTAATCTATAGCAACAGATTAGAGTAGAATAAATGACATTAAATTTTTTTACAGAGAAAAATATTACCTACCTTTTTCTTCCTTTTGGTCTTCTTGGCAGAGGACTGTTCTTAAAATGCTCCAACTTCACTGGGTGAGTTTGGGCAAAAGGAGAAGAGAGGAGGCACTGGAAGGAGGTTCTTCACAAATGGACCTTTGTCTGCCTTGTCTCTCGCCTGGGATTGACAGACTCGCGGCTCCAGCCAGGACTGTGGGGAGGAGGGGAGTGGAAAGAGACGGGGCTGCAGAACTGCCTCCTTGGACTCTTCCAAACCAGACAAGAACGAACTGAACAGCTTCTTTACAGAGGGAAATAACTGGTCTATACAAGAACTTGAGGGAGGCAGACTCCTGGAGCAGTAAAATATGAAACCGGAGGGATTTGAAGAGAACACAGAGTGATTTTTTCTTTAAGAGAAGTGTGTGTGTGTGTGTGTGTGTGTGTGTGTGTGTGTGTGTGTGAGTGAGGAAGGATGGGGGATGGAATAGGAGAGAAGAGGAGGGGGGATGGCCAACATTTCTTAGGAAGGCAGCCGAGTACCTCTTTTCCTTTCACAGTTTGTGTTTTTTATCACCAGGTTTTTCTCACCATCTAAATTTCTGAGCACATGCTCATAGAAAATATATTCCAATTCATGTTGCATCTCTACAAATTCTCACACCAAGAGTCATTACCAGTCAATGTGAAGCAAAAAGAAATGACTAAAAATTCTGTATCTCAGAAATAAATGCACAAAGGAATTTCATTCTGTTCTGAGAAAACAGTACTGAAATTCTAGCATCTATTAACAAAACTTTAGGATTTCTTAAAAAGTTTATTCATGAAGAAGAACACAAACGCATGAGAGAAAAAGAAGCCTCCTTGATGGGGTCTCATCTCACCCTAATCCCCTCTCCCTGGTCCTCCAGCTTGTCAGGATCTTGGCCTGTGCCCAGCATGTTTTCAAGCCAACCCAACCCAGGCATTTGAACCTGTGGTTGGCCACGAAGCTTCTAACACCACAGTTCAGTTTACTGTCAACTGTGCCCCCAGGGTGGGTCAAGGGCTTTTGTTTGTTTGTTTTAACTCAATTAGGAGTTGTATTGTATGAATTAGAAATATATATAGGAGGGACCAGCAGTTAGCATAATGACTATGTCCTTGAACTCCCATGTAGTCGACCATGGTTTGAGTCCCAGGCCTGGTGGCTTAAACTCACGCCGGGCGCACGTGACCTGTAGCAAAAACCTCTCCAAAAAAAAAACATATAAGAATAGAGTAGGATTTATCTACCCAGAGAATGGAGGAACAGTATTTCCTGGTTGTATTAACAGAGGTATGAAGGTGAAGAAGAAGGTGAAAACTTTAGAGATTATATGACTGGAGCCAGAGATAGTAGGAGATGAAATTAGAAAGATAGAAAGAAGTAAGGTTGATGAAGTACTTTATATGCTATGCTAAAAATTTTTAAGTTTATCCTGAAATTAAATGGGAAAATGATGAAAATATGTGAAAAAGAATGAATCCCTAACTGCAGTGTGGAAAAGGTTGATGTAGAGGAGAGATGAGAGACAGGGAGAACTGGATATTGCAATTATCAAGAAGAGAAGATATTAAGAGTTATGAGGAAAACTGAAAGGGCTTGATGAGCAGTGACATGCTTATGTTTAGGGGAGAAGGAGCTGAGGGAAGAGGAGGAGACTTTACTAACTTTCTTTTATTTTTTAAAAAACATTATTGCCTTAGGGTACGTGCAGTCACCAGAGAGAGAGAGACACATGCAGTCACCCGAGAGAGAGAGACAGTGAGAGGGAATGTGAGAAATCACACCCCTCTCCGGGGTAGGAGGCATGGCCATGCTGCAATCCCTTCTTTTCTATTCTCCTCCTGGTATCTTGGGCACACATGCACATGCACCCAGTGTGAGTTTCAAGCCATCGAGTCCGGGACTCAAACTCTGGTCGACCATTGTGGGAGTCCAGCAACATAACTGCTACACCATCTGGTGGTCCCAGACTTTACTAACTTTCAATGTCTTGGACTATTGGGTAGATAGTGTTGTTACTTATCTAGAAATAACAGGCAAGAAAGAGCTGTTACTCATCTAGAGAAAAAAATATAAACATTTTAGTCAGGAATGAGAAGATAAAATGAGTCCATTAACACTGAGTTTATGGAGCCCTAGAGGTGTTTAGGAACACTTAGTAGGTAGTTGGTTAAATTAACCTGGAGCTTCAGGTTTAGTCTAAAGAATTAGTTTGTCGACTCATCAGTTAATCATTATGTCAGTTAAATAACTAATAAAGTTATTCAACTAAGTGACAGTGGAAGCCATGGCTATACCATTTGAAAGTTACTGCACTCTTGCTATGCACCAGACACTTCATATGTCTAAACTATAAAGTGAGTACTATTATTAGTCTCATTTTATTTATTTATTTATTTGAGAGATTTTTTGCTATAGGGCACATGTGCTTGCCAGAGAGACAGAAAGTGAGAAATCACCCTTCAGAGGGGATGGCCACACTGCAATCCCTTCTCCTCCATTCTCCTCTTATGATTTTGGGCATGCATGCATGCACACACCCACAGTGTGAGTTTGAAGCCACTGGGACAGGGACTCAAACCTCAGCCGGCTACATGGAAGTCCAGCAATGTAACCATTATCCCACCTGCTCAATTTTTCCTGTAACGATGTGTGTGGAATGTGTGTGTATGCTCAGGCAATTGTTTTGCTAAGAATGTGAATTCAAGTGCAGCTCAATATTAGCTTCAGTATAAAAACTGTACAGATTTTTGTATAGCTGATAAGATTCTTTGTAGAGAAAATACTTTTTTAAGAATGCAGGTTGTTGCTTTTTGAGGGGCTACAACATACAGTTAGATTTTATAGCTCCTGATGTTGAATGTTCCTTCATATTTAATGGTTTAATTTTTTGACTTGTGTATGGCAGTACAGCACACTCATAGAAATTGGTTTCAATAGTAAATTTTGGGTTTTTTAGGATGTTGCATTGTGTGGGGTTTTTAAAATTTTGTAATAAAATTATGTATATTAAAAAAATTAAAAAATAAATGAAAAGGTATAACAGAAATGTTAAGTATTCTTCCCAAGACCAAAGAGCAGAAAATGCCAAGACCCTAGTAGTACGTTTCTAATGTCTATGCTTCTCACCCATAAGCTAAACTGCCTCTCAGAATGCATTACAGAGAGGAGACTAGGGCTGAGATCATGTCCACAAGCATTTAAGGGTTGGATGGATAACAGAGGAGGGAACTGACAAGGGATAGCCACAGTAGTGAAAAAATTAGGATACCGTTGTTATGGAAGCCAAAAGAAGAGTATCTGAAAAAGAGTGGAAGTGAGTGGAAGGCTCCTAGTGACAGTAGTTTTGGAGAAGCCATATGTGCACACTCCAGTATGGAGTGGAGCAGAGTGAAGGTCAACAAAACTGGAAGCAGTAATTACTCCTGGGAGAGATCAAATCTCTGCTTGGTCGCCATTTTATTGAAAACAACACAAGTGGTATGGACTCCAGGAAAGCAGATGAGAGGTGTGTGTGTGTGTGTGTGTGTGTGTGTGTGTGTGTGTGTGTAGCTGAGAGCACATTTTCTTTGCGTATTTACAAACAAATTTCCTGTGATCCTTACTAAAAAAAAAAAAAATTATGCCACAGATGGAGTTAGTTTGTTTGTATAGAGCTGTGTGGGATGGAAGAAAAGATGGAAATTAGTCTTCATTCCATCTGAAGAGTGATCCATCTTAGGCCAGCCAGTGGCATGGTGGTTAAGGTGGCTGGATCCCACATGACTGACAGTGTGGTTTGAGTCGTGGACTGGCAGCTTGAAAAACACTCCAGGTGTGTGTGCGTGAGTGTCCAAAATACTGGAAAACTCACTAAAATCCCAAGAGAAGAATGAAGAAGTGTGGCCATCTGTCTTGGGGGAAAGGGGTTCACTCTCTCTCTCTCTCTTGCTTTGCTTCTCTCTCTCTGTTTCTCTCTGTTGAGTGCATGTGCCCTATAACAAACAAGAGAAAAGGGCCATCCACCTTATTTGACTTGTGGAGCTCTGGATCAGAAGCATATCTAGACTTCAAAAGATTTGTGGAAAATTAAATTAAAATGTTTGTTATAATGCAAGTTTTAAAAATTTCTGCAATTTTTAAAAAATTGTACTTTTCATGAATTTTTTGAAGAACACCCCTCTCCCTTTAGTGTTGTGGCAAATCAGCATTCTCTGTAGATGAATCTCGTCTCCTCTTTTTCTAACTCGTATTTCCTTGTGTATCTCATTCTTTTTTCATTTCCCTTATTGTGCTGCTCGTTTTGTCTCCGTGTATCTAAATTTGCAGCTGCTCAAATAGTTGGTTCATTTTTATATTCAACAATGTTCAGATCCATACAATGTGCTTGGCATCAAACTCCTTGCATGCTGGCATCAAGTGGCACATAGCAGCTCCTGGTAGCAGTCTCCGGATCCTATTCTAAACCTCTTAGGGAAGCTTTCCCCTAAGAAGAATGTTTGGTTCCTGGTTTCCTAGTTCCTTGCTGTATTCTCAAGCACTTACTTATTGCTAGTTGGACTTTCTATCACTTCTAGGGAAAATTATTAAACATTGTTAAGTTTAAAAATACTTGGATTTCATCATCCTGATGTTCATTACACAGAGTCTACCACTTGAGAAGTAATTGAACTGCAAACCAAAGCCTGCCCTTGGAGCTTTGCTCTAGTGACTCTTACTTGGGGGCGTAAATTCAAAACTATGATTACTTTTCTTGTAGATGGCACCCTATGACATTTTTGTTTTCTCTCCTGGTAAACTGTTTTTCAGACTTCTTGTTGAACCCAGTTCTAGGTTGTCTCTTACAGACACCTTCAAAAGCTTCCCAAAGTGAACCTCTTGTGTAACACAGAGCCTGCATTTTAAGTAGGGCCATCTAAATATACTGTCCAGATGTCTAGAAAATATGTCCAGCTATATTTTTATGGCTTTATGTGATGATGATGGTGTGTCTTTGTGTGTGTGTGTGTTTCATTTATATAGTTATATGTTACCATTCTTAGGTCCAGTCGGGTTTAGAAATGGAAAATTCTCTCAAATTTGTAACATAGCCAACTCCTGAGTACAGAAAGATTTGATACAGAACTCAAGCAATTATGTGCAAAGTACTGGTATTAAATCTGAAAAGTGATCTAATTAGTGTTTTCTAAATCAGCAACAGCAACTTCCTTCCAACCAGATGAAATCTCAGGAGGTAGTAAGCTCGTGACAAAAAGTGATCTCTGATTTCCACCTGGGAGCTCATGCATATGCCCTGATTTAGGATCTGCTGCTCATCTGTTCCATAACTGACCCCTTTTTTCTCATTTCCCTCAGGCTTAAATTCGTCTGCAGTCACTGAGGCTGACAATGTGGAGAGAAGTAGTCGCTGG